TACCTGTCACAAATCCTACATCATCCACTATTTTTTTATCTTCATGAAACTCCTTGTAGAATCCAGGAGTTTTATTTTGTTTACATTCACACGCCATTGTTTGTTACTGTGACGACACTTAATTATTGATAATGAGTATAATTACAATAATTAATTGAACTATGAATATCATTATTTTTTAAGGTCTGGTCCGTACAGCACTGTAGATTTCTGGACATGGTGAGATTAGGCCTATAAAAACTGCTTAGAAAGCCTAAACAACAACCAAAGAGCATACAGGAGAAATAGTGTCATGAAACAAAGAGATAAAAGTGGTTCCTCAAATAATGGTGACTTGATAGAAAAGGAAAATGTTCAGCCTGCCTCTTCACCAGAAGATCCACCATCTTACTCCAGTTGAGAGATGCGCATTAATTAGAAGGTTCAAAGCACAAGGTCCATTGGGCGTGGTACTCGTCATTGCAACAATGTTCTGATTCATTTCCTTAGGTTATTTTGGTTAAAACTCAATGAATAAATTATCTTGAAATCGAAGAATACTATGAAAGGAGCAACAAATCAAAAGTGAGTTGTATATTAATGTCATTTAAAAGCAGCCTCAAATGACAGGAACAGTGTCATCAGTCACTCATGGTATATAACACAACATGAAACTAGAAAAACAACAGATGAAAAGTGAGTCAAACACTAAAAGTCATCTCAAAATCCAGCCTCAAACGAAGTTAATTAGTTTCTCTTTACATAAACTGTCATGAATTTGAAAAAGGAAAAAATTGGTGAAAAAAGTCTAAAGTACATTAAGCATCATAACAAACTTCAAATGATGAAGAATCTGCCAACAAACTATGAAAATGTGGAATGAAACATGAAACGTGGAAAAAGCCTCAAATTATAAAACCCAGTCAATCGAGGTAGAAACTACGTCATGAAATTCATAAACAAATAGAAGTCAAAAATGCATAAAACATTTTAAAACATAACTTAAATGTAAGATTGCTCACTTTTGGTGCACATCATACTGTGAAACAAATGAAAAAGAGAATTTGAGTTGACACATCATTAATTTTTAAAACTAATAGCAACTGATCAGAACTCAGACGGATCAGTTACTCCTGGTACTATAATAGTGAGAAAGAAAACAATTAGTGGAAATTTTGTAGTACCAAAAACATTTTAAAGTTTGTCAAATGATTCGAACACGGACTGACTGATGATATACATAAATACAATCTTTAAACTTAAATGTAAGAAATAGTGGAAGTCGAAGATACATGACATTATTGAACAAAGCCCAAATAATGGAATGATGAGTTACATCAGGTATGTCAGAATACATAAATATCATGTTAAAACCTACCTCAAATGATAAGAACTCAGTCTGTTTAGTCACTTTTGGTATAACCTATGGTATGAAACTGAGAAAACAAGAAGCAGAGTGAAAAGTCAGTAGTTCATAAAACATCATTGCAACACCAAAGTAAAATAATAAGAATTTAGTCTGATCAGTTTCTTCTGAAATTGTAATTGATGCTATGCAACTGAGAAAGAAGAAACATTGAAAAAAGCCAGTAGTATGTAAAACATAGTTAGACCGCAGTCAATTGTACCAAGAAACTGTGAAATGATGAATCAAATACATGTAGTGGTACATGAGACATCAATTTAAGACAACCACATAATATGAACACGTAGTAATGTCAGTCAGGACTGGTACATACTATACTATGAAATTGAGAAAAAAATAGTTAAAAGTCAGTGAAAATGGAGTATCATTAAGAAGTAACATCACATAATAAGAATTGAGTCAGATTAGTCTCTCCAAGTTTGAACCATACTATTATAAACCTAAGAAGGAATTAGTGATAAGTAGAACGTCAAACATTTCAATAACCAACCTCAAATATAAAATTATAAAGAATTAGATGTTATGAATCACTCCAGCTATTAACTATACTATAAAACTGAGAAAACAAGAAGAAATAGTGAGAAACAGAACATAAAACATTTCAATAACTTACCACAAAAGAGTTAATTCTGTCCGATCAGTTACTTGTGGTGTATACTATGAGAAGCAATAGATCAAAAATGAGTAGCATATAACACATCATAAAACCAACCTCAAACCATAAAAATTAAGTCTAATCAGCCACTTACAACATACATGTTATGAAACTGAAAACAGAAGAAACAGATAAAAAGTAAGTCAAACACTAAGCATCGTTTCAAAAACTGACCTCAAATAAGTTTGATTCATGACTCTTGGTATAAACTCTACCGAAGAAACAAATAAGTCAAAACTAAGAATTACATGAAGCATCATATTGAAACTAACTTTAAATGATAAAAACCCAGTGTGTTGAGTTACTTTGGATATACAAGACACTATGAAAATGGAAAAAGACAAATGGAGAGACATGGAACATTACTTAAAAAAAAAACTGCCAATGATGAAACTCAGACCTTCCAGGTAAAAGTACATCATGAAACTTAAAAGTAGAAAGAAACAAATAGCTAGAAGTCTAAAGTACATGGAATATTATTTTACAATAAAGTTTGATTACTCACTTCAGGTGTAAAACATACTATGAAACAGAAATAAAAAAACAAGTGAGAGAAGTTAGTAATTCATGAAACATCATTTTAAAATTTCAAATGATAAAAACAGTTTGATCAGTCCTTGTATTAACTATGTCATGAATTGAGGAGAAAAAACAAGTAGTGACAAATCAGTAGTACATGAAACAATTTAAAAACCAACGTTGAATGACTTGAAGAATTTTGTCACTTAAGGTTTTTAAAAGAACTACAGCATGACTGTTGAAAGAAGCAACAAAGAGAAGGAAAAAATACAGGAAATGATCTTAAAACCTACTTCAAGTAATAAGAACCCAGATGGTCAGTTCTAGTTTAAACTACACACACAGTGAAACAAAAAAACCAATTTGAGAATATAGAACATGAGCTACAATAGCATAGAAAATTTTCCTGGCCCAAACATTTTGCGGATCTGTTTAAGAATCAATTTCGTGGCTTTACTTTTTGTTGTCTTTCAACTTATTGGCCATCTTGAATGGTATTGAATCAATTTTCATAGATTTTAATTGATTGTGAAAAAATGCAATATTTACGAAATTTTTTGT